CTTACTACAAAGTAAAGATTGTAAGAAGGAAAAATATAAAATTCTTATGTGGTACTCGCACTAGTAGTATTACATACAAATCACAGAAGTACAGGTACTGCAGTTCAAGGTTTTTACCTTCGGACTAGCATCAGCACCAGATGGGTTCTGCTGAATTGTACAAGCGTTTTATTGTCACTTCCATTCCCTAGCCCTGTGCACACACACACACACCATTTCATAGATGACTGGTTACTGCTGGCAAAATCTCCTCAATTGTCAGAAGATCATAGAAAAACAGAGGCTTTTCCTCCATTCTTAGAGAAGAGGGCAAAGGTGGGGGTACCAGCCTACATGGGGCATGCTCATAATACCAGTTCATATTTGATACTCAGCTATCTGGTTGGGTTGATTGTGGCCCTTCTTTTTGGTCAATATTAGCTCAGTACATTGTTCATGGAAGAGGGGCCATTGTCTCTTTGTAATTTCAAATGCAGAGTGGTCCTTGGTTAAGCACAGTTTGTTCCATGTCCTCCCCATAATTCCAGTGCAAATGGAATTTACCTTGCCAACACACTTGGGGAGTGATGATGAGTGTTCCAAACCAGTTGAGTCCCATTTTCTCAGGTTGAGTAAGGCATACAAGATCACTTCCTTCTGAGCATAGGGTGCTGCCTTTTGGTCTTCAGGTTGAGGAGAAGGTTTGTCCACTTCGGTGTTGCTTACCTTCTCATCTCGATTCTGATGGCTTGGAACATACCACTCTATGGCTACAGGTTGGGATCTACTCATAAGTATATATATATATATATATTGCGGTCCAATTGCCCTAGCCACCAACATGAGATATAGAGACCATGGCCCTATAATTTCAACCCTGAGCAGTGGAACCTCAGCTACCTGGTTGGGGCCTGGCCAGTAGTGATGATAAATCATGTAAAATTCCACCCACAGTACATGAATTAAGTTCTGGGTGAAGAGCATGGAGATAGTGTGGTTCCCCCACTAGGGTGCCAATCTTCTGTTGACACAACCATTATCTATGTAAACACTTTCTGTATGGATAATTCCCTTACTGACCCCTCCACTGTATCAATATGGGATTCTAGCTGTAGTGTGAGTAGAGGTAAGTATGGTTTGGATGTTAACATTTTCTTAAATTGAAAATGTATTTCTAATAATACTTACTAATACTTACCTCTTTTCACACACTCCCACTCTTCCTCCACACTGACAGCCAGTGTTAGAAACTGCAGATTGAGTCAGTTTTGAAAAAGTGATAACATTATCTGAATGAGGTGCTTATATACAGTACCAGGATATAGGGGGTATTGATGTAGGTGGAAAGTGTCAGGAGATAAATATCACCAATGACAATTAAGTGGGGTATAAAAGTCTAGAGCAAGTTAAAAAAAATCAAACCAATGCTTAGATGGGGAAATGAAGAAACCCTGGCAGTCGAGTAATAGCTGTTGTGTGAGAGGCAGTAAATATTATTAGAAATACATTTTTAATTTAAACCACAATAATTAAAAATTTTGAGTAAGCTGATGTAAAAGAAATGCTAAAGTTATAAAAGAAAACAAAGAAAATAGAAATTTTTCTGATTTGCATTTATAGGGTAGTATAAATCAAGTCTGTAATTCTTCACATCATTGAGCAAAGTTAAAATATGGACTAATGTTAAATTTCTAAATATTTGAATAATGCAGATGAATTTTTATTATAATTTTTTCTACACATATTCTAAAATATTTATACAAATGCATATGGTATTCTCAGATGACATTGATCTCTGTACAAGTATTGGATGTGGTTGCTATATAAAAAAGGGTCAGTCAGGAAAGTTATGAAGTACATATGAATAAAGCTAGTATAGCTAACCAGCTGACTTTTAAGCTATGAAAACCAGTCACGTGTGTATACTGGTGCATATACTGTACTATCACTTCCTACTAGGTCTTTGAATCAGTCAACAGTTGTCTAGAGATATCTTTCAAATGACAGGCTCATGTTGAAAACCAAGTGGAACAGTCTCAATTCAACACTCCTTATTTAATAGGAAACATCAGTTTACCCCTAAAAGACTAGTGCTTCCCACATGACTGGGTGTTCTTATAGTGAAGGTCATAAACTCTAAATATCACGTGCATGGCCAGTGAAGGAATTGCTGTCATTGGGCTATTTTGCATAGTGCATAAAGTTGCAGCAATATTCCTATGAGCAGAGCCGGTAATATCTACTAAAGAATTTCAAATGAACAAAAGTAACTGGAATGAAAATAAATCAGTAGTTTTCTGAACCAAGTGTTTATGCAAAAACTGTGCATAAAGCCAGATTAAATGAAAATTTTTGAAAATTCCTACATTAAAATAAGAATGTAGAAAATGTATGGTATGTTTGTGTATGCAGCACTGATACATAATAGTTGTTACATTCCATTTATGTTAAATTGTAGGATAATTGTAATACATGTAGGTCGGATGGTTGTAACAGTATGAAGGATTTCTGTTTCACGTAATTTCTTTTATTAGAACTTATATTTTTTCAGTGGTTCAAACATTTACCAGTGTCATTTCAGTTTACTGAACTGTACCACTGGAAGGTTACAAAAGAAAAGTCCTAAAATTCTCAGACAAAAAAGCTTTTCAACATGTGGTGACATTTCAGAATTAGGTATATATCACTTGAAAAACCTAAGAATCAGCACTGCAAGATATACTGTTTTCATATTTATTTCCAGTGCTAATTATTAATCTTTTCATAATGTGTGGGCCTGAAGCCCAAACATGCCATGACATTATATTTTTATCACCTTAATTTCAAGCTATTGTTAGCAGTCCTAGTTATTAAAGATTTCCACCTAGATCTCAGTTTTATACCCAAACTAGCTATGTTTTTCATGAGATTTTTAAAAGAGATTTCAGTTGTAAGCTGCTACGATTATCACTTGAAGATACACTATAATATATGTACAGATGTATTTCTGAATTGTTAATTCAATAATAAAAAACATATTTAGAACATAAAAGGTACATACAGTTTTCACTCTTAATTTTTATTACAGTTTACTTTTGTTTCTTCATTTGTACTTTTCAATCTATCTGGAGAATACACATGAATATTGAAGTAGGTTATTAGTCATTAAATATAAAACCATTGAGAGTAAGAAATTGTGTTATAATTTTGTAATAAAGGGGTTCAGAAAAAAGCATAAATAAAAAAAGTCAAATTTTTTAGAAATGTTGCCTACTTTTCCACAGATTCTTGAAAGTGATGTCAGCAGTATGAATGGACTTAATCTACAAGCGGGAGTGTTAGCTGCATTAGCTCTTTTATTTAAGCATGGCAAACGAGAAGATGTAAAAGGTTATGGAATTGAGATACTTAAAAAAGTTTTAGGATGTGGTTTGATGGACAGTAAGAGCACAGTAGTAAGGAAGATGGTTCTGAAATTAATTCAGAGAATTGGTAAGTGATCAAATGATTCTTAATCCATAACTTGATTTAAAATATTGGATATTTAAAAGAAAACTAAAAGAACAAATTGCAAATTGAACTTCATTACAAAATCACTAACAGTAGCTACTTCAGCCAAATTGTTTTGTTTTCACATCTTAAAAATACCTCAGTTTGTACATTTACTTATGTAAATGAGAAGTCATTTTTCAATAACAGTATTGTTGGGAAAATTTATTAACCTCATCTTACTATCTAATAAAGATGTTAGATATAGACGACTGTTTCTGTTTAAGTATAGCATGAGTGTTAAACTTAGTTATTTTTAGAAGTGATAGTATCTTGCAGGTTTGTGTATGTAACTGTGTAAGAATAATATGTTATGTAGTTCAGTTCTTGTGAATTGGGGGTTGTTGTATTGTTGTATCATGTTACTAGAAACTTCTAAGTTTTCTCAGTGTTTCAATTGAGTATTATTACATCATGTTTTTACATAGTGTGTAGAATGTTCTAGGCCTCTATCAGTCTATAAGTACATGTACAAAAGGTAGTTCAAGTAAGATAAACAGTTAGTTAGATAGATAACTAGAGCTAAGTTGTGTTTGTGATTTTAGTCTTAAAGAGTATATAGTCATGCCTTTTTAACATGAAATTATTGCAGATTGTATTGTAACAGCAGAGTAAAGAAGTCCCAGAAAGCACACTTGCTTAATAAATACGTATTAATAGTGTGATTTGTAGCACTATTATGTAGTTAATTTACCTAACGTTTATGTAAAAGTGTGGACTACCAGAGTGTTACTATGTAGTACTATTATGTAATGGAACTACCAATATATAACCACTTTTGTATGCTAAAATACCAATATGGTAAATTTCTATTACTATTCTACTACATTGTAACTACCTTTCCACTACTTTTCTGGCAACTTGATACTACATTCCATTGTTTTCTACTTCTTCTTAGTACCTTGTTTATACCTTTCAGCTTCACCCAGAATACTTTCAATATATTAATTTCAAAAATAATTAAGAAGTAATATTATTTATTCAATATCATTGATACAACATTATAAGTTACAAAAACAAATTATACCTTTTTTATACAAATTACAAAAACAAATTATACCATTTTTTGATACAACATTACAAAAAACAAATTATGCATTTTTTGATAGTGTTACAACATTAAGAAAACAAATTATAATTTTTTTGATACAATAACATTATGAAAACAAATTATACATTTTTGTGATACAACATTATGAAAACAAATTATACATTTTTGTGATACAACATTATGAAAACAAATTATACATTTTTTCATTTCTTTAATTCTAATATATTCTCTATTCATCAGAATTAGACTGTATTGTTGTGGGAGTTGATGTGGGTGTCTTGAGAGAGTTCAAAGCAGTTTGTGCCTGTAAATATAAAAGACCAATTCAGTTTGACAGACAATACAGCCATCAATAAAATCACAAATCAAAAGGTGTGAGATTTGTATTTTCATCTTTCTGCCAAAGACTATAATATTATATGGCTAAACAGTGTTGATTAAATTAATCATTGTCAACACCTGCTATACAAATAAAGTTGTACCTAAGTTTATAGTGAAAATGAATATTTTGTTTCATGTAATATGAAGCTCAGACAAAGTTGGTACATGACTTAGCAGTTATGTCATTGTGTTCTCTATGTTACTATTGTCTTGAATGCAATACAAATTTAGCTATATTATATTCTGTATATTTTAATTGCTATATTTTATTGTGTTTATTAGTTAACAGTTTTGACCAATATGAGTGCATCACTTTGTCAATATATTTACCAGAAACAGGTATCCACCACACTTGCTTAGGGCACACTTAAGAGTTTCTACCATCTGCAGCTCAACCTCAGCATCCTGGCATTTGGGGTGAATGTTTCTACATGCCTCTATTGAATCATTAAAAATTTCATTATTGCAATTTACAATAACATTGTAAAATTTAACAAAACTAGGATTTTACATCTATAACTCTGGAAAATTCATAAATTTAATAAAATAATAAGATCTATAAATGTGGTAATGAGGGACAAGTATGAGGTATTAAAGTACATCAGCTAATACAAACTTTGTATGTCATTGATATCTTAGAAATAGTCTTGTTCATTGTTACTATTGTTTTCATTGCACAGTCAGTATACAGACTGGGCTTATTTTCACAAAGCTATGTAAAATGGATAATTACACAGGTAGTTTTTACCATGTTTACTGTACCAAAATAATAATCAATTAAAACTGAAAATATCCAGTTATACATACTGATAATTATTCTGTATAGTGGCAGGTCTTGGAATGTTTGCTTGTTCTTCCTGCCCTTCATGTTGAAACTGGACCACAGGTTGAAAATCCTCAATTTTTTAAACATTCTTTGTACAGAATACCCAACATTGTTCCCTCCCAAAGGCACTCAGGACAGAAAACTGAAAAATTGTGTTACACCATTTGACCAGATGTATGCTTGATTACATCAACAAATGGGCATACATTTGATATGTCTAAATTATTTATATGCATGATAATAAGTATCAATGAAGGAAATAGCTAATCATTATAGGACTTACCAGTTTTTTTTTTCTCTGGCATGGATTTTCTGATAGCTTGGTACAGATTTGGTCCAGGTCTTCCCATGCATCCATTTGTTCCTCCACCATGTCCTCCACTACTTCCACCTCTTGTGCCTGGGCTTGTGAAACCGCTCTCTTTTTACTGGCAAGTTATTGGAGAAGTTCTGTGTGCTTTTTTTGGTTGGCGATGATTTTATCCAGCCTCATTAGGACTTGCCACTAGTAATCTAAAGGAAGAATGCAGAACAAGGAACAGTAGCTGCCCAATTAACATAATATTGTGTGCAGATAAAAGCAGTGCAGTCTTTAACTGATGATCTGGTCACCCCAGACCACCAAAAACTGAGCTGGACTACTAAATCTGACAACTTGGTGCCACAACTTTTAATTGCATTATATAGAAGTTTATGTTATCGAATCTGAATGTTGGGAGACTATACATAAGTATTGAAGCCTTCAAAATATCAGTGTAAAGCAATAATCATTTTATATTGATGAGTGATGACTAACTGTGGTGACTAACTATGTAACGAACATTTGTATATACATTTGACTTGTTTTAACATATTATTTTAAAACAAGTGGACTGTATGTTGTTTGTTTATTGTTGAAATTGATCATCAACAAGTCACAGACACCTACTGTAAAGAATCCTGCCCATCCATATATAAAACCTGACAATAGAACACAATTTTTATTATCATTTTAACTATCGTTATGTGTAGCTAGGTATCAGGTAGCTAGGTCATCACGTTTGTGGACTTACATTCAAAATTTTATTGAACTACTATTTTATGAATGTATGGCAATAAACTTGGTATAAAATTGTAGATTTTAATTCAAATTTTATTATTGTACATTAGTTAATTTCTTTATTTGAAAGTAAATAAACAAAAAGGCTAAATATCATTTTTTGTGTGTCACACTGGTATGTCATGTTCTGGGTTTGGTCAGATTACATTTTATGATGTCCACAATACAATGTATATAGTTTGATACAAATTATAAACTCAAATTTCTGATATTGGCTAGCTAAAATATAAAATAAGAACCTCCTACCTCTTTTATTTGCTGATATATATAATATTTATCGAATCCACCATATTGGTTCCACACACCACTTCATCATTTGAGAAGTGACGGGATAGATAATTAAAAACAGGCAGAGATAGAGACAGACAATTGAGTCAAGCATGTTAGTGACCGTAAGTAAAGTGCATGAGTCATTGTGAATTATAGCATGTGTTTAAGTTAAAGTGACTGTGGAAATTAAGTGTATTGCAAAGTTGTATTGAAAAAGAATAAACTAGTTTTATTTAAGAAAGGACTTGTGTCGTTAAAGTTTCATCCGAAAGAAATTATACGGGAAATTAACAAACGACCAGAAACGTAACAAATTGGTGTCAGAGAGTGGGAAAAGAAAAAAATATGGAAACGAGAAGTGGCAAATCAAACCACAGCTTAGCAGATTTGATAGCAGAACAAGAAAAGAAACAAGAAAAGAGATCACAGCAGCTGTTGGAGGAAAAAGAAAAGAAACAAGAAGAGATATTACAACAGTTGTTGGAGGAAAAAGAAAAGAAACAAGAAGAGATATTACAGCAGTGGTAAGAAAACCTGCAACAATGGCAGCTCGAACAGCAAAATAAACAAGAGAGATTACAGCAGTTATTGGAGGAAAAAGAAAAGAAACAAGAAGAGATACTACAGCAGTGGTTGGAGGAGAAAGAAAATAAACGAGAAGAAAGTCTCCAACAGTTGAGAGAAAGCCACAGTACACAAATGGAAAACATTAGTAAATTTCAAATTGAATTAAATACATTAAAGAATGATTTACAGTCTTTTACACAAGGAGGATACATTAACCATCGACTTAACCAGCCTCAGACAATAACAAGCCCCTTCCAGACCCTGCAGCTAAACCCTAATGCAGACATATTCAGCCTTGTTA